AATTGTAATAAAACGTAAAATATCTGAAGAAAATGATAAGGGAACAAACTAAAGTTAGAAAAACTTGGATATGACAACTCAAAGAAAGACTGAAATAAAAGAAATATTTTCAAAAGACACATATGACACCATGTTGGATGGTTTTAGTTTCCCACAGATTCACGGCTCACTCAAATCTGCACTTCCAGCTCAAGTCTTCCTTCTGAGAACTAGGCTTTCTTTTTAAAGATTTATTTATTGTTATTGCAAAGTCATACAGAGAGGAGGAAAGACAGAAGATTCTTCTGTCTAACGATTCACTCCCCAAGTGAGCGCAACGGCCGGTGCTGTGCCGATCTGAAGCTGGGAGCCAGGAACTTTCTCCAGGTCTCCCACACGGGTGCAGGGTCCCAAGGCTTTAGGCCGTCCTTGACTGCTTTCCCAGGCCACAGGCAGGGAGCTGGAAGGGAAGTGGAGCTTCTGGGATTAGAACCGGCGCCCATATGGTATCCCAGTGCGTTCAAGGCAAAGACCTTAACCATTACACTATCACTCCAGGCCTGCTCTTATTTCTTCTCTTTCGCTATATTACTCTTGGTTAAACAGCATTATTGCCTGTAATTTGTCACCATTGTCACCGCTTAAGCTCTCACGTCATCCCCACATCAAAGCTGTTTTCTTTGGAGCTCTATTGTCATTGCCTACTATACGTACCAACCTGATTGTACCGACTTGGTTCACGCATTTACTCTCACCCAGATTATGGCATTTCCCAGTTCTTTGGTTCAATGAGAGAAGGGATGGTGTGACAGGGAGAGAGGGACGAAGGGGAGAGGAGACGGGTAGGAGACGGGTAGGAGGCGAGAGAGCGGATGGAGAGGGAGAAGGAAAAGGTTGGGTGTGAGGAGAGAGAAGGGAGAGACTCCTTCAGAGGAGACCACCCCCAACCCCCCTCAGGGTCCCCCAATTCAACTCTCCTGGCTCTGGCCTCAACCTTTCCAGTAACTGTAAGTGGAAATGAACAAGCTAGAAGTGGGAAATATGAGCCACTGTTAGGGTGGCAAAAACATTCCACTATGCTCGCACAGCTCCCTGTTGCTGTTGAAGACTGCACTTTGAACAACCAAGGAGATCCCTTTGAATTCCCTGCCACCTGCAGCCTCGGTGCCTTGTGCCCTCAGGGCTCCCACTGTGATGCTTCTCCATCTGCCTGCGTTCCACACTCCCTAGGCCTTGCTGTGGTAACACACTGCTCAGAACTACCACCATCTCCTGGGAAGACGCTGGCCAACTGCCTCCCGACTGCCTCTCTCCTTTCATCACTCCCTGCTTGAGTCAATTCTAAATACTATTAATGTCACGTCAATCACTTGTTCTGTTCCTACCCTCTTCCTGGTATCCATGCTGTTTTGAGAAATGGTGCAGAATGTCACTGTCCAGTGAGGACTCTCCACCGATTTGTCCCAGCCCTCTCCCTCGCTGTTCCCTAGCCAACCAGGCCCATGCCTGACTCTATGTTTTTTGCTCAAGGCATTTTTTTTTGGCCTGTAGTGACTGGAAACATTTCATTTCCTCATAGAAAATGGCTTGAGGTCTCCCAGTGGCGCTTGGGCATACATCTCTTACAGCTCTACCACATGGCCATAAGTACCTGTTATGACACAAGTAGATTTTTTTTTCTTAAAATGTCATTTAGTATTCACATAATTATGTGAGATATTGTTTAATCATATTCAATGATTATGAATAAGGTATCTTGTACTCAGAGGTCCCATTTTGACTCAAGGATTTAAATCCTTAATACATGAATAACTGATATGACACAAAAAAATGCTACAGATGAAGCTGAGTTACACAATGTCCTTATTCTGTGGATAATGTGGATTAATGCTTCCAGAGACAACAATGACAACTTGATCACACTTAAAAACACAACCATCTGACAACTCTAGGAAGCAACTGGAATTTTTCACTTGAGGAATTTCCTTAATTATTTCTTCTCCAAAGACTTCAGAGAGGAATGATTGGAAAAAGATAACCAAAGCTAAAGATAAATTAGCTTGGGAAATCAAACAGCAGAGATTTGCATTCCCAGATCAGTTGAAAAGCGAGGGCAGATGCACAGAAATGGGGTGGATGCTTTGCTTCTTATCTGAATCCTTGTCTGACAACTGAGCTACGTGTGCAAGCAGACCACAAACAGCATGCAGCAAGGGTAACGAAGCTGGCTGCTGTGACTTGCTGGAAGCATGAGTTTGACTCCAGCCAAGTGAGTTGTCTTTGAGGACAAAAATCAACCTTCTTTAAAAAGAACGCAGAAACAAGAATCTTGAAGAAAAATATATAATGTCCAGTACACAGTAAAAAAGACTTGACATGCAAAACACCAAAAACAGTAACACAGAATTAAGAGAAAGAATAGTCAGGGCAAACGGGTCTTGAGAGGCAGGTGGTCAAATGAGCAAGGAAGGGATTTAAGACAACTGCTAAAGACTTCAAGGACTTGGAGGACTTAGAGTAAAATGGAGTCCTGTGAGTAAAAATAGGGTCAGAATGCTCATTTTAGAAGTGGAAAATTCCAGGGTAAAAAAGTCTGAAATCTGTGCAAAAAACTAATTGGGTGAGTATAGTCAGAGCACTGAGATGAGTGACCGTATTCATTCCATCTAAAGAGTAAAGAGACGGAATAAAGAGGTGTCTCAGTGACCTGTGGGACCGTCCTTCGTAGTCCAATCCCTGGAGAAGTGCAACTTGGACGGAGCAAAATCTGTCCGTGACACGAATGAAGAATGACCACAACTTTGCCCAGTTAGATGCAAAAGACAAACTTAGGTCTCCAGCAGTCTCCTCACAGGCAGAGCCACCCGTCTCCACCACCAGTTCTGCAGAGTTCAGGGCAAGGGACGGAGGTGTCACTCCCCAAAACACAGAGACAACACTGTGAAAGGCGAGGAAAGGGCAAATCGGGTAAAAGCTGTAAGAATAAAGCAGCACTTGGGAAAGAAGTTACGGGAAAACAGGGAATTCCTAAAAGGAAAATAAAAAACTGCTAAGCCTCAACAGCTGCTGCCAACCCAGTAGCAGGAAAGACAGCTCCAACATGAAGGGGAAATGAAGGCATTTTCAGATCAATGAAAACTGAGTTTGTTGCCAGCAGATGTTACCGTAAGATGCACTCAGACAAATGCATGAACACGCAGGTGCCCCGTGTGTATTTGCACACACGGGTATCTTTTGACTTCTCATTGGCCTGATCTGCCTTTCCAAACACTAACGCTCTACTATACCGTCCGCACTGCTTCTTTAAGATGGCTCAATAAAAACACACTGTGATGACTCCTTTAATCTACTACTGGACATGATTACCCTTTACAATATGCTTGGAGGGACTGGCGTTGTGGTGCAGTGGGCTAAGTCGCTGCCTGTGAGGCCTATGTCCTACAGGAACAGTGGTTCCACTTCCAGCTGATCCACTTCCACTCCGGTTCCCTGTAATTTGCCTCAGAAAGCAGCGGGAGATGGCCCAGGTGCTTGGGGGCCTGGGTGGAGTTCCAGCTTCAGGCATTGGCCTAGCCCAGTCCTCGCCCGCTGTGGCCATTGGAGAGTGAACCAGTGGGTGGGAGATCTCACTCCCATTCTCCCCTCCGTCAGTCTGCCTTTCAAATACACAGAGACACTTTTTTATATATACATAAAATACACTAATGACAACTCCTTGTAAAGCTAGGCGACAGCTAATGTACCTCGGTCAAGGGTACTTTTTAATACTGCTACTAATCATTTCAAATATTGCTAATTATAATACACCTGAGTGTTAACTAGAGGAAGGAATATCAGAAAGATTTTTAATTATATTCTTTATATCTTTATATTCTTTATATCTGGTGGCTAGAAATACAGTTTCTGCTATCCTTTTGTAAATGGGGTATAAGAACCAAGATGAGTTAGCACTGTGCCCTCATTGATGTGTACCCCACTTTAACGCAGGATTCAGATTTCAGATCTAAAGGAAAGATCAAAAGATTGGGGATCTTGACATCAGAGTGTTATCTCGGAGCTCCAGTGTGAGGATGTGAGATAATGCGCCTTAGCAGGCAGGTGAGACAGCCAGCCTTTAGAGCTCCCTACTGTGTGGGCCCAGCCTACATGACTGGCCTCCCAGCCTGCTACTGGTGGAGAGTGTTTGTATACAGGATTCTGCTGGGATGGCTTTCAGGGTACACCCCCTTGTGGGCGGCTCTCAGGGAAGGAAACAGAGAGCCCCCCACGTGGTTATTTACCTTTAATCACTTGGACACATTCCCACTCTGCATTCCCACTTCACCTGACTCAGAAAAAGTAACTACACATTCAAAATGTCCTTACATTGCCTTGACAAGGCTTATTTACATAAATTACATATTTCGTGGTGAAGTTCTCCTTATTAATTTTTTAAAGGATTAATGTATTTGGAAGGCAGAATTACAGAGAAAAGGAGCACTGGAGAGGCATCTTCTGTCTGATACTTCACTCCCCAAGTAGCTGAAGGGACCAGGGTTGGGCCAGGTTGAAGGCAGGGGCCAGGAGCTTATTCTGGATCTCCTATGCGGGTGCAGGGCATAAGCACTTGGGTCATCCTCAGCTGTTTTTCCGAAGTGGAGCAGCTTGGACTTGAATCGGTACCCATATAGGATGCCAGCACTGCAGGTGACAGCTTTGCTAGCCATGCCACAGTGCCAGTTCCAATGGCAAAATTAATAAAGGACACAGGATCACAACAGAGCACACAATATGATTATAACACATGTGTTTGAAGCTGGTCAACTGAGCCCACAACATCATTCAGAGAAGGAATAGTGAGGGAAGTACCGGGTGCATGGATTTTACAGTGAGCAGGATTCACAGGAGGCCCAGCAAGGTCACTGTCCTGTCTCAGAAGTGCAGAGCACCTAACTGACATTGGTGTTTTCCCCAGGAGTTGGATCACCCTTCTTCCCTTAGAAGGAAAGTTGTCTGAAGCATCAGCTGTGCCAAGGCCTTACCTCTGAGTGGTACCCAACCCTGACGAAGGCGCACAGGGGGTCAAAGGCTCCGGTGCCGCAGGTCAGAAGGTGTGTCCTGTTATAGTGGTGCAAAACCCTCACGTAGTTTGCACACTCACTCTGAAGTAGGAACAAAAGGGAGCAAGTTGGTTAGTGTCATCCAAAGCATTTGGCCCTAGTAGAAAAATGCTGATTTCCTATAACCCTAGGACTCCCAGCTTCACCACTAGTCAGCCTTGGATGTAGCAGGTAGGAAGGGCAGGTGGAAGAGGAGAGGGACCCAGGGATGGGGTGGGAGAAGCAGCTGGGGTGCCCAGCACATATTCCAGCACATGGCAATCAGGGGTGTATCCTACACCACATGTTCTAGTTCACAGCTGGAGAATTTAAAAAGCACCGCTTGAACATCAGCCCAGGCACACAGTGCTGCGGCAACATCAACACGTCCCTCTGTGTAGCGAAGCTATTCCTGGGGCTGCTGTTCTTTAAGCAGAACATCAACAATAAATCAGCATGAAGCCAGGAGTCTGATCATTAGAACAAGCTCTGTTCTGTGTGAAGAAACTTCTGCAGACCTGAACGTGTCACAGCACTGGGGCATTCTGAAAGCCAGTTTTCCAGTCTCTTAATGCATGGGGAGCTAAGAGCAGAAATCACCCTGGATTGTAGGGTTCCTGGAAGATGACAGTCCAGGGACCAGCAGCCTTTCTCAACAGAGTGACTGACTGTTGATTCATTTTGTTAGGTGGGCACATGGTCCCTGCGCAGTGGCTTCCCTCCATGCTCTCACATGGACACAGCCACAGGCAATGCCAACTGAATGTGCATGGCTGTGCCATGACAGAACTTCAATGCACAAAAACTGACCAGTGGCCACACTTGCTTGTGGGGCCATGCAGCTGAGCTTCTTGAGGGTAGAATAGCATTTCACACATCTCTGCATCCCCGTTACACCAGTGCCCAACAGAGACTACACACTTAACAGGGTTTAACACACTCATGATTCAGTATGTTTTAGGATCAATATGCTGGGTTAAAAAAATTCAAAATTATTAATAATCCAACTTTGGCTACATTAATTCTAACTAGCACCCTCTTGGAAAATGAGGTGCTGTTTTATTAGCAATAAATTATGAAAGAAATATGCATCTGAAATATGAAATTTGGCATCTGAGCGCTAAATATTACCTTGAAAGCAATACACGAGATGAACAGTACAAGTAATGCTTTATAAGGATATACTGTGATGCCAACCCATTAGTTTCTTGTCACGGGGCTGGGATGAACAGGCTAGCAAACCCATGTCATCGGAAGTGACTGGAACAATAGCACGTGCTAAGCAAGTATGAGGAAAGCATTGCTGGTTGATGTGAACACACAGATGGGTTTCTCTGATTTCCCACCCTCCTGGCATGCCATTCTGTGGGCTGCCATTCGGGCACAGTGGAAGCGTTCTGTTTTCGCATAGCTGCTCCTGTGCTTCCGTCACAGCCTGGCATGAACCAATCCCACCACGTTTTGGCTCAGTGGAGCTTAGCTTGACAGGGCGGTGAGTGTGTTCAATTAGTCAGCATGTGGGCTAAGGCTGTAAGAATGTGTTCACTCATTCCTTGGCTGTGACCCAACTGCTACAGAAAATCCAGTTGATACAACACGTGGTGGTCTTTTACGTGGCGTCTTTGTTTTTCTTACAAAAACACGAGTTCACCTTCAAAGGCACACAGACAATGGGCCATCAGGTCAGTCAGCGACTCCCAGCATGCCACAGTCCTCCCACTCACACCTTGATGTGGAAGGGGCTGTGTCCAGCAGCTGCTGAGCAGAGCATTTTCCCACTCGCGCGTAGCAGGGAAGACAATATTGCTCCTTAGAGCAGGAGAGGCCCTCAGAACATTCTGGAATAGGTAATGTGTGAGTGTGTGTGTGGTCTTTGGTCACTCTGTGTTTTCTCTCCCTTTGTTTCATTTATTTCTCATTTACTGTTCAATACAAATCTCCCAAAGAATGTGATTAACTTTTTCTCAAACAAAAAACTACCTTTGATTATTTTTCTCCCAAATACATAGGAACTAAGCATTAGCTTGAGGAACATATAAAGCTCAAGATGGTTAAGATGCAATAGGCAAAATTAAAATCAAGATCTGAATGGCCCCATGGCTTCCTTTAACTCTATACTGAAATTAATCTTTATATAACCATACATTTCAACTATGCATACTTTTTCTCATAAGTTTCAGATTTTTTTTTAAAGCAGCAAATAAAAGTTTAGTTACTTAATCTTTTGTGGTTGATCAGAGCAAAAACTGACAATGAAATAAGACTTACTGCATCTTTTCCTTTCATTATGCATTCTTCTATTTTCAGTGCTGAACTCGGCCAGTGTATCTGAAATAAAGATAATGCACTATTATGGCAATTACATGTAAAAATAAACCATATTACAAAACCATTTATCTTCTTTTATAATTAATATAGTTCTATTTTGTTCCATTTTCTGAGAAGAGAAAAACCAGATTTTATCTCCTTCCCCTAATTATTTGCATAATTAAGAACCTTATTGCTGCTTTTACTTCATGCTAAACCTTATTTTAAAAGTCTTTTTGAGCCTCATCACAAGTCAGTCAGTCCTTAATCAGGTGCTGGCCTTTCTCCTGAACTTGACCTTCTATCCATTCAGTTTAGGCACCACGGTGAGTTCTGTTTCTGTTTTCACCCTTAGCGTGCATCTTCTGGGGAGGGATTGGCCATCACACCTGCTGAGTGAATGACTCCTTGAAGACTCGCCCAAGTGCATCGCCCAGCAGCGTACTACACTCCATGTTTGATTATTTTTTCAAACACCTCTTAACTTTGATCAGTTTCAACTGGTTACCGGGAAGTTTCCACCACATTTCAAGGTTTCTGGCTTTTTCTTTGAAGAGGCAGAAAACACCCAGTGCTTCGTGGTCATCTCTGAGCGCCCGGGGACACAGGTCAGCAGCCACTGTTCACTAGGCGCGTGCACTTCTGATGATAAAATGTAATCTTTTTATTATTTGACCATTTTCTTCTTGGATTCCTCTGCTGCTCTACAGACCTGATCACATGACGTGCCAGACACGGGGCCGTGAGTCTCACTGTAATTTTTCTTCCGTTTGCTTTACAAAGTCACTTGTATGGATCTATCCGTGGTCACTGCCATCCTCAGCCTGGAAAAGTCCTCTTTATTTCCCTAGTCTTTCCTTCCTGTAGGCTCTGCTTTTATCCCCTCAGCAGACAACAACTGCCTCTATAACTGTGTACTCTTAAATTTGTTGGTATATATCACTTTTCAAAAAATCTACCTATTTTCAGTGTATTTGAAAGGCAGAATTCAGAGATGGAGAGAGGTCTTTCACCTGCCTGACACAGACAGGACCTGGCCAGGGCAGAGCCAGGATCCTGAAGTTCAATCCACATCTCACACGTGTGTTGCAGGGATCGAGGACATTGAGCCTTCCCACATGCGCATTAGCAGGAAGCTGAACTAGAAGCAGGACAGCTGGGACTCCAACCAGTCACTCTGCACGGGACAGGGGCACCTTGGGCAGTGACTTCACGGATGTGCCAAATGCCTGTCCATACAATCTCTGCACAGACTCCTAATTCACATGCATGACACTGACTTGTACCGCTCTTGTTTCCCTCTTTCATGTACACATTTGGGTTCTTTCGGTGCCTTCAGAGCCCCCTGTGCACACAGAGCCTGCTGTTTCTTCTTGCTGTGTGAGTTTTCTTATCTGTACTCCCAGGGATGGACACCTGATCGCCCCCTTTTGGTATTTGTGTGGGATACTAACAGGGCATGGAACCAGGACCAGAATTAGGAGACTCTCATTTTTGTGCTGAGCATGTTAAAGGCACACCCAGGGGTCATGACTGAGGTGCTGGCATCACATGTGGCCAACAAACTCCCAGCTGCTCCCTTCCCATCCAGCTTCCTGATGTGTTTTGTTGTGTTTGTTACATGACTGAATTTAGTATCACAGGGCTAGCGCTCTGACTGCATTTTAAGTATCAAGTAATCAGCGCTGACATTGGTGTAATGAGCCCCAGAGTTGGCCACTAGCTTGATTGAACAGCAGGTGCCCCTTACGCTCTTCCTACAGCATACACAGTTTACATAAAAACACACGAGTGCTCGTATGTTGCAACACGAGAACAAAAGATGGAGGGAAGAAAAATAGAGATCTGGAGGAAAATCAACACAAGAAGCCAAAGGCACAAAATCCCAGAGTGGGTGTTTATTTAAGCAACGAATCCAGCAGTGCCTGACATGTAGTTCATGCAAACACTTCAGTGTTGGGATAAGTGATGTGGTGCAGCTAGCTGAGCTCCTGCTTGGGACCTATGCACTCAGGGAGTGCTGGGCTCAAGTTTCGATCTAGCCTTTGGCTGCCTTATGCTGGGAGGCAGCAGATCATGGCTTGAGGGCTTTAGAACTTGTGATTTTCTCATGACTGCCTGGACTGCTCAAATGGACACGCTAGAATCTGGGCAGGCACGTACTGAGTGTGCACAAAATACAGATATGGGTGGATTCAAGAAAACAAAACACGAGTTTGAGGAGTGGGAAGATTTGCATGCAAGTCTGTTGATTGGCATGAAAAGACTAGAAAACATCTCACTCACAGTTCAGGATATTTATCAGCATATTTATTAAGACATAGGGCTCTTATTTTTCAGGTTATTAGCATGCCTTCTCATTCATGTTTCTTCATTATAAAAGATGCTGATTCGCTTAAGCTTGGGGTAATACATACTACAGACATGTATTCCAGTAATTTATGATTTGGGTTTCCTGTAAGTCTTGGCTTCATGATGACACATTTCCAAACCATTTATACCCACCGAGTGGGGGGCAATTCTACACAGCATCACCCCCATCTTTGGCTGCTTTTGTTCCTGATTGGGCTTTCTCCCAGCCTTAAGAGATGGACCCTCCCTCCACAGCAAGTGGGAGGGAATCTTCCTGGCCAGGATAATAAAGACAACGTGTCCCTTGGGACAAAGGCTGGACAGGTTTGCTCATGGCCCTTCCAAGCTCGGGATCTTCAAAGGTTGGTACCCCAGATGTGCTACACACGTCCCCAGGGGCTCATTGGCAAGGAAGCCCATGGAATTCTGGGGCTTGCTGCTTGCTGGGCTCGGTCAGCAGAGACTGCAGTCTGCATGGGAGTGGTGGCTCAGGCGCTTTCTGACAGCATCTGGGAGTTAGCTTGTATTGAAAGTGAGGTTGGATTTCAGACCCTTCCTAGGTTTTGACACAGAGATCATGCGTTGTGTGATGGGGTGACAAAGAATGGCTTTCCTAGGACAGTCCTGATATGCCTTGCTCCTAGCAGCATGCAATGCTTGCCAACTGCTGGGAGGACGGTTCTTCTTTCAGATGCATTTCACAAGAGCTTCACATCAAAACTTCTCCCAATGTCTTTGCAACACATTGCGTTTCTCCATCCTTCATTCGTCCATAGTGGCCTTACTTACTTTCTCTAGGACTTTAATGATTTGTGTACTTGATTTTAGGTTGCTTATTGGCCTATGAATTATAGAGGGCAAGGTGGGGGTTTATTTCTGTACCATGCCTGGAATAGAGTCCCAAACACAACTCCTGTTTATTCAGCAGCTGTGGAAGGGCTTGCAACTATAGGTCAGCACCCGTAGGCGCATTCTGTGCAGAATCAGTGCATAAAGGTTGAGCAAGAAAGCTCTACCAGAGACCAAGAAAAGGAATCACTTCCAGCTTCAGTAGGAAGGATATAGTGGGCAGACGCTAAGCTTTGAAAGACTGGCAAGGTTTCTGAGGGTAGACAAAAGGATGCTGACCAGATTACTGCAGGCCAACGGGAGGAGAGAGACAAAAAGAAAAATGACAGGCAGTGAGTGCAGCAAGCCAACACATGAGAGCCCTCCCTGGGGAGAGTGGGGGTGGCGGAGAGGGCTCGCGCCAGTTGTGTTGCTGGTTTGCTTGCTTGTGTAATACAGTTAACAGGCTCAGGACTGCATCCAGACCATAACCCAGGGGACAGATTAGGACAAGAAAGACGTCACTGGAAATGCAGAATTACTTTTTAAAGCCATCACGTAGCAAAGTCCTGCCAAGCTCACGAGAGAAGTGATTTTCTCCATTTGTCCTGGCAACACGTCTCCTGGTCGTACTCCAGAATTTAGCATCAACAAAGCCCATGACATTGAGCTGTTTGTTCTGCACAAAACATTCCTAGAGGCAGTTAAGCTACAGGGTGCAGTGTTATTTCCAAGTTCCCTGGACCCAAAAATGGTACAAAACACAAAGGTTAAATCCACACCATTTCCTCATGGTACACCACAATATAATTTAATTGTTCCACTGTAGGTTAGCAGACCACTTGTTATTCTTGTACATCTTGAAGGATAAAAATAAAGATTCATTCAATGTAGTCTATCTTCATAGAATGTACTTAAGTGGCTAAGACTCTACTACTAAATTTCACTTATTCTAATGAAAAACATCAGCTTGTATTTGGAGTTTTCTTTCCATATTTTATATCTAAATGCAAAACCAGTGTCTACCAAGGTACATGTTAATTCTACATCCTATATATACCATTATAATAAATGAAATATATTTTGAATAAAACACATTCCTAATACCTTTTAAAGTGTAAGGCTTAACCTGAACACTTGACTGGCCTTAGTGTTTCTGCCTTGGCGCTTTTTAAAGCCTGACATGACTCAAGCACCTTTTGGGCCTGAATTATAGTCTTTTGGATGATAGACAAAATTGGTGCTTGACAAGCTTATTTTGAAAGCACTTGACCTAAAACAATGTTATAGCGACACAAACATTAGTGGTCCGGCACATGCCCTTTTTTATGGATGTGATGTGTTTAACTGCTATCATTAGCATGCTATATCATCTTACATTTACATGCAAATTACATTTTAATGCCTTTTTCTAAGTCAATAAAAATTAATTCCAAAACACTAGCTGATTTTCACCTCTGATGCAAAATAGTTAAGTAAATAAGAAAAGTATGCCTATTTTTATAAACAGAATTATCTAACAGGGCTATCATTTCTCTAGTTCTCCCATTTAAGTAGCAGACTGTCAACTCAAAATTACAGTGATGAAAATAATTATAGTGAAACCTGCTCAAATTTAGAAGCTTAGAGAAAAGCTGTGGACTAAAGTGGCTTCAATTGAAAGCTTATTATTCAATTTGGAGCATTTTGTGTCTTCTCATAAAATAATAAACATACTGATCTTTTATGTTTTCATGGAATGGAACAAAAGAAAAATTTGTACCTTAAACTAGTATTCAAGGGGATAGTTTTGATATGTTTATCAGGAAGTCTCATTAATTCTTATTAGTTAATTAAATGTG